GAAAAAAGTTTCTCTCTCCCTCGCTGGGCCGGAGAGAGTCAAAATGATGGCCGGGGGAAATTGAGCGGTGAGATGAAGTTGAAACAAGGCAGGAATTGATGGGGGCTGGCCCTGAGATCGGCAAAAAGATGCCGATGCTAAAAAGAATAAGATCCAAAAGGAAAAAAGGAAATAAAAAGAAAAAAGAAAAAAAAAGCAAAATAGAAAAAAGAAAAAAAGAAAAGAAACTTGAAGCTAAAGACGCAGCACAACACTGTTGATCTCCACAATTCCCACATCTTTTGAGATTATGGCTAGTATTAGCCTTTCCCCACCTTTTTTTTTTTAGCCAATTGTTATACGTTCTGTGATGAGAAACAAGCCAAGGAGGAAAATTAAGAAAGCAACGAAAAAAAATCGCAAAAAGAAAGGAGCCGGCGGTTTGAACGACGACGGTGAGTGGGCGCCGGTGGCACAGACGATATACGTACACAGCAGATACACAGGATGTGCAGTGCAGTGCAGTGCAGTGCAGTGCAAATGCGCCATGCATGGATATGACGGACGTGAAGGTGACGCTGGGCTCATCCGATTTGCAAATATTCTGTACTACGATTGTGCCCGGTGATGGTTGCGTTGTGCTGCCTCCGTAATTGTCTGTCTTGATTGGATACTAATATTAATTTCCGTCTATGGATGCCAAGTCAAAGCTCCCTTTTTATCCCTGGTTTCAGATGAGGCTGAGAAAAAGCAAGAAAAGAAGGGAAAAAAGAGCAAAATAAGAACTCAGAAAGGAATGGAACAGAACATCGTCACAATGCATTTTATCTGCAAGCCACTGACTGGGGTATATAGTCGAGGAGAACCACCCAATATAATGGATCCTGGCCATACAGCACATGACATGCAGTGGTTCTTGGATACGTCAAGTCCTTGCCTTGTTATATCTGCACATATGATTAGCGTACAGTCAGAACCTTCAGCTGATAATTCCCGAAAACCTTTATACTGGAGTTGGGACCCTCGCAGGATAATGTACGTTTTTGCCATTAGTCCCTCAGGGCCTTGAACTGAGGGAAATCCAATTGAGCCCACAAGAATCATTCCTTAAAAGAATCCCAGCAGCCGTGAAAGGAATTACTACAATCGGGTGCTCCTAACCACCACTAAACAAATCACAAAAGAATCCAGGGGCCCTTTTACCGTCTACTCAGTGGAACTTTCGCCTTATAAGCTGGCTTTGTGTGCCGGATTGCGTCAGAGAATCCGCACGATATCCTTCTCTCCAGGCCCACTAGTTATAGATCTTGCTTGGCATTTGTTCTTCATAGGCACGTGATGAGAACGTCTTACCTAGGTACCTATGGTCCTATGGAGGTACCAAGCTGCACTCAGGTATCGCGTCATAGCGTTGTTGAACTTATTATCTCGTTGACACATGCCAGAATAACAACGCACTCAAAAATCCACATTAACGAGAGTATATGTCCTTTTTGCACAAGTATTCAGATGCCCAAGTGACCCTGGTTTGAACCAGGGTGCAACTGAGGAAATGCTAGTGATGAACCCCCCTCTCAATCCCATCCCGCTTATCCACATCCAATAACTATTAGAGCACTCGCGTCAACTATTTGGGGGGGGGGGGGGCATGCCGGCTTTAATGGGTTGGTGGTGGAGCCAGCGACTGGCATAGGGTTGGGAAGAGCAAAGCGCTATGGCGCGACAGCCAATTAAATCACACCTGTCATGGAAAGGGTATGAAGTGAGAGTCGTATCGCCGTTCATATCGGTCGTGACTTCCAGGGATCCTCAATCTATTGGACAGCGCCGATCCGTGATCACTCCACGGAAGGACTGGGTTGGGCGGGGCCACGGCGGCTCGCTGGGGCAAGGGCTAGCCAGTATTCGAATATCACGTGAATGATCCTAATCGGATACACTTATATCCGGAGCCAGCTACTACTCGACCACTTCCAACCACATCTTCACGCGAGAACTTCGCAGCCCAGCTTCTCAAATTCCCCGTCCGAGCCAGCAAGACTTTTAACTTCCACACCTTACATCATGCCTGCTGTTCTAAAGATATCCACCCAAGATTTGGACAAACTTACCCCAAACGACCTTGAAGGGGTGACGTAGGAGCTCCGCTTAACTCAATCTAAAATGTTTGGAATGCTGACGACTTGAAGGTTCATTGATCCAGTAGATCTAGAAAATTGGACTGAAGAGCATCAGCTTGAAGTGGGAAGCACCTTCTTGTTTGAATCTTCCGTATTAGTCCTAGAGTGCTGACATCGCCTTTAAAGGGGTATTGTTGATCAAAGAGGCCTATACCGGCCCCTGGATGCGGCGGCGCTGCAAGAGAAACTCAGGTAACGCAATCTCGAGATTTTGTGTCGGGCACTGCTGGCCTAGATTACCCTACGCTAAACCTTGTGAATGATAGAAATATCCAAAGACCTTCCACAAGTTCGAGCTTAACACACACTCCAAGCGGCACTCCATCCCCGGATCCAGAATTGGATGCTAAACTCCGCCGGGATGATGATAAATACTACCATAATCTGATAGAGAGAGGTGGTAGACCAGCATTCTCGCTGCAACTTTGGTGGGATCGCTACTGTGATGATCAGAGGACTGCGTGGGGGTATTTGGACAACTATGAACAGTATGAAGATATTTTCAAGTACTGGTACAGAGGGGGCACTGGATTTCGTGGACAACTACGGGTCTGGATTCATTTTCAAAGATTCCAGCAGCGAAACCGCAAGACCGCGGAGATATTCGACCAGTACCAGCGGGATGTGCGTGAATACCGACGGAATGAGGGTATCGAGGGCGACATTCATCTGCACTTCGATCCCAAGCAGCAGACCAAGGTGGATGAGTGGAAGGAGTACCACTACTTCCAGCACCGGAAGCTGGCTGGGATGAGGCCAAGAGCTGAGGAGGCCCGCCAACGGCGGGAGAAAGAGAGGAGAGAGTGGGAGGCGGTCAACGGAACAGGAAAGAAGATAGACCGCAGTGAGCCAGCTGGTATTGCCTGGATTTATAGAGACAAGGTCGAAGCAGACCTAGACGACTTCATGGTTTTGCTAAACTGGATAGAACAGCAGCTTCCAGAAATCGCTCGAGAATGTGCAATATCCAACAACAATAACGCTCCCAAAGACACGCCGAAACCTGTGGGTCCGGTGGAGGTATCCGGAACCGTACCGATGCTATCTGCAGTCTCCCGTACCAGAAGGACCGCGAGGAGCAATCGAAGGCCAACTAATGGGAATAAGAGGTCTACAAGCCCAGTCCTTGGATCAGTCGGTGCAGTGAGGGTCGCCAAAGCCAGCAGGAAAACAAAGTCATCAGTTCATGCCCTAGTGTCTGGTGCGCAGTCCACGACGCACGGCGATACAAGACGGATCACAAGGGCACAAAATAGAGCAAGCACAGCAACGATGAATGCCATAATTCAAACCTATGCACAGGCATCAGCAGATACAGCGCCCTTGCGCAGAAGCAGGCGCATCAGGGATCTGGAAGCCAGGAGAAACGGGCAGTGCAAGATGATGCCGAGGGAGGCCAGACAAAAAGTCTCAAGAGCCAAATCTCAAAGAAAGCCAAAGGAGCGGGTGTCAAAGGAGCGGAAGCTATCTCCACAGGCCAGACCGCAAGGGATCACAAAATCTCGAGTGACCAGGAAGAAAAATTTATCCCGGACCGCCGAGCAGCTTGACAGATGAAGAAGCGATGGTGCTCCGGTGCATGTCTCACCAAAATGGAACTCCCAGTTATTACATTTCAGTCGGACACGGACCCTCATCTGGTCCCACACTCGCTGTCCTCTTCAGGAGCCACAGCTTGGCCCTTACCACCTTCATGCGGACCGAATTTCAGAGCCCTCAAGATGCTAAAACTTGGCTTGTTCGATCTGATATAATAAATTGGGGCTATGCTAATTTAACTGCGAAACTTCCGATTTCGACTGGAGAAGAATTTGATGACTGTTTCTGGGTATCTTCAAATCACTTTACCATTGATGGACAGTTCAAGTAGGCTAGTAGATACTGTAGCTTAACTTGTCATTCTGATATCCGCTTTCATACGGTGCATTTGCAGGAGTGGCGACCAATATTCGTAGGGAGTAAAATTGGTACAAAAGTTCTCGGTGTCCATCTTCCCGGCCTTGCGGTACTCTTCATCGAAGACGTCCTTATTCCCCTTGCCAAATGTGGCCGGCTCACATTCCTTCACGAGCTGGTGGAATGAGCCTTGCAAGGCTGTGTCTTCGCCGACAGGAAAAGACACCGTTCTACCATTATTGTTATTGCCGACACTCGGGTTCCATCGAATTGTGATGGGCAAGGGACCTTGACCGGTGTTGGGATTGTCAATTTTGCCACCAATTGTAAAGACGGCCTTGTTTGCACTAGCATTCAGAACTTTGCGGAGGGCGTCAAGGGCGGCTTGTGTTTCGTACTGTGTGCCCGCTTCATCTTCACTTGCTGAGTCGACCCCCCCGTGGATCTTCTTGCCAATACTGGAAGGCGAAGACAGTGGAGGCGACTGGGAAGGTTTACATCATTTTGATATGTGTGAAGCGGTAGTTGTCAAACCTTCAGCTTGGCGTTTTTCGGGCATGTCTGCTGATATTGGCTATTGGAATTGGAGACTTTTCAACCTAGCCGTCACTAAAGGTAGTCGTATTTTCCCCTCCAATCAATTCCCCCATACAACACGTTGGGAAAACAACGCGTTGTTGAGTTCACTACAATATCCATACAAATGCAACCCCATGCAGAGGTTCGCTCCACAACCATGACTCAATGTAAAATCTATTCAATGAAATGTTACGGACTTTCATCAGTCACAAGTAATGATTGGCTCGGTAAAGAAGAGAACCATATTATTTTTGCATTTGGCTGGTGTTACCATAAGAATATTCCCTGTTTCTGGATCTTCCCATCGTGTAGGGCGGCACGGGACTGTCAAGATGGGGCAATACTTTGATGTCATCGCGCCCAGGCTGCGACAGAGAGTGGACTGGGGCGGGAAACTCGGTGAGATCCTTTTTGGTGGAACTGCTGCTCCTCTCGTCTACCTGTTTGCAAGGCCCATCATCCCTCCTACTTTCACAGAGCATTGTTGTACTCCAGAACAGAAAGGCCATGGCGCAATGACTCCCAGTGCAACGATTGCAACTACACCCAAGAAGCGCGCCCACAATGCCGATCGGCCAGCGGGGGGAGAGGGAAAGGGAACAGATGAAAAAACACCTACTCAATCCGCCAAACGATCTCGTTCCAGCCCACATCTCCTGACGCTCCCCGCCGAGGTCCATTTATGCGTGCTCAAGTTGCTAGATGTCGCGGATCTATGCAATCTCGGTCTAACTTGCTGTTACTTCTGGTCAAATGTCAAGCCCGAGATTGGAAAGTTTTTCGCTGGGGCCCTAGGAGTCTGGGCAGGAATACCCGTTGTTTGCATCGGTGATGAGAGCTCGACTGGTGAGGGTGCGTACCCCCAGGGACTTTTGGATGAGGATGACAAGGACGAACTCAAGGAGGGCCTAACAGGTGGGGAGTGGGAGGATAGAGAGGACGAGGAATGGGAAGAAGACATATTTTCTGGACCAGCCACTCTCTTCAGGCTTGCTGAGAATCGATATCGGGTTCTGAGGATGATTGAAAATGGCTGGTTTGCAGGTCATGGCATCCGCAGGCTTTGGCTTGACCACTGCTACAGGAGTCCTTGCCCATCAGATTTGCGGGACATAGCAGAACCCAGACCAAAGTCATTTTATCCCAGTAACCGCGTCTGGATCTTGCGCAATCTGACAACCCGGGAGTTCGTCATCTCCAATTCCATTGCACTGAAGCCGGAGTATATCAGTGGCCCGTTCATCGACGGTATCGGATTTGGCGAAGTGATTCTCTCTCGCATCTGCTGGTCGACATCTCAAGTTCATCTCAATGGAGAACAAACATGACATCCATAAAGGCAAGTGGGCTGGACATCAGCTTGATATCGTTCCACTGGATACACTCAACAATGAGGACGGTTCCTGGAAGAAGATTGATGTTGAGGTGGCAAAGGAAATTGCAGAGATTTGGGAGGCTAATTTGGGTGAGAACTGGCGGGAGCGAATTATTAAGCAGGAGGGATAGAGTTAGCCCGCCTTGAACCCAGCTAACACCAGACTTCATACCTGCCGCTCATGACTTTATATTGGATAGTTGATCTCCACAAATGTGAAATCTGACGGCATAGTCGGGGCTGCGGAGCTCTTGACCATACTGGAGCACGAGAAGTAGATTCGGATAAATATATAGCGGGATGACTCCCCGGGCATGATTGATTAATTGAATAAAGCACACTTCATATCAAAAAAAAAAAAAACCAAGTGGTTATAAAGGCAAACCAGTAGCTTATCCTCCCATCGCTTTGATACCACCAATAGCCTTATCAAAAGCATTGATGATCGGCCCATAGAAAATCTCGCAGCGTCGAATTCCGGCGGGAACCCTCCTAATATATTCTCAAATCCATTTGCGTCCATGTTACCTCGCTTGACCAGCATACCAGTGTGAACAAACTATCGGCCGGTTGATCTTTTAGTTTGTTGACAAACTGCCGGCCCCGACGGCCGCATTGCCAGAGGATGTAAAAGAATGACTTGAGATCGTGCCGATAGGTATGGTCAACGTTAAGTAGGAGCCGCGCCTCCGTTTCAAGAACGTTCTATGTACATTAAATGATAAAACTTTACGCCAATTTCAAGAAGCAAACAACGAACCTGACAGTTTAGTTAAGATACAGAAGGCATGACCCCTACCACCTATGCCTCCATAGGCTTCGTATCATTAGTGGCCTTGCCAAATGCTAAGAACCTCCGGGGCTTTTCAATGTCCCCGTGACTAAGACTGGCAAAAAATGGGTATTGCAAGAACTAACAGAGATGAGCTTATGCGTCACTAGGTCTGATACTGTTAATAGCACTATCAAAGGCCTTAATAATTGGTCCATACAAAATGTTTGGGTCAGTTGGTGTCCCGAGGAAGAGACGCTTCCTGTATGGAAACAAAACCCCGCGCAGTTCTCTGCAAAACGGTTTGAGGCAACCGAAATGTGGTGGGAATTCCTCCAGAATATCTTCAAATCCATCAATTTGCATATGCCCTCGTTTGGCACCGGCAATATCTCGATAGCTGTCAGTATACCATTTTGTTAGAAAACTCTTTTCCGGCCATTTCTCTCCCCAGCCACGACGGCCGCACTGCCAGATAAGCACGTAGAAGAATGACTCAAGATCATGCCGATAGGTATGGTCAACGTTAAGCAGCACTTCGATCGCCATGAATTCCATCGTGCCCGTCTGGTGTCGCGCGCCGGTTCGTCCGCTGCCTATTTCTTTGGCAAGATCCAGGTCAATCAGCATCCCTGTGTTACCGTCCGCCTTCGCCGGGTCGGTTATTATTATGTTGTTCTCCGAAATATCCCTGTGTAGAATACTTCCATCAAGATAGAGGGATCGATGCGCCGTGATCGCGTCGTGGAGCGCTATTAGTAGCTCGATAGGTGAATGGAATTCATAGATCGGCCTGCCGGCGGGCGAGATCACCAGGCAACGGAGGATGCGGTTGTTGTAGGGCTCTTCGCTATTTTTGTCAAAGAGGCTTGGTTTCTGGACTGATTGAACTGAGAAGGTTAGCTCTTTCTCCTGCTGGTCGTTCTTCCGCTGACTGTTTGAGCGTGATCGTTTGGACGTCCGGGTTCCGTTATCGGGGGATCTGCGCTTCTTGGTTGATGACTTCTCACTGATACCCAGCCCACGGAGCTGGGTGGACGACCGTGACAGTAGGTTACGGGGCTGGGACTGCGTGAAGGAGGAAGCGGTGCTTGGGGGGGCGCTGCGGAAGGCGTGGCGTTTGTCGAAGGTCAGGCCATCACGCATGTCGGCGATGCTGGTGATAGCGCTGTGACCGATAACCTTGGCGACTCCTTTGACGCCTCTTTGGCGTACCAGTTGGAGGAGGTCCACTTCCGGCTGCCGTTTGTCCGAAGTCCATGAGAATTTCGCCACGCCCTCCATCTTGTCACCATCTCTAGCGAGAAAGCAGCTCGTCCCGCGACATACGATGGCTTGCTGGGAGCAGAGTGGGGCTGGGTCCAGCCGCAGCACCGTTTCCACTTCGGTTTCAGCCGCCTCGACGGTTATCGTTCTGCCACCGTCTGCTTCCCGTGTCGTGAAGGTGTCGAGACCCAGCTCCTCGTCGCTCATCATCGCGTAGCCCACGATCACCTGGAAGAATCGCTCCGAGTCTTCGTGGATATCGATGGCACCGGAGCTGTAGGGCCCCGAGCGGTCGAACATCCACACCTCGAATTTGGTCCCGCAGACGGCGAACGCGTGGACGAAGCGCCGGGTCGGCTGGGCGGTGAAGACATCCCGCACGTAGCGGGCGATCTGCAGGAGTGTGCCCTTGGTCCTGATCTCCTGCTCGGACTGTTTCAGCTCGCCTACCACCCGGATGTCCTTCCAGTCGTGACCCTTTTGTAAGCCGCCCTCACTTTTGGCCTTCAGGAAGAGGTCGACCTGTTGCTCCGCATCCAAACCGACAAGACCCTTCTTGGTCATCGTGGAGAAGTAGGCGCCGCGCGCGTCCGAAAGGAGGTCGTCCTGGAATCGAAGCCACCAGTCGAGGACCTTGTCTTGCACTGGGGGACTCGGAAAATCGGCCCATTTGCTGTCACTGTTGGTGTCCAGCGCGCGTCGACAAATGGCGTCTGCGCGCCCAGTCCATTCTCTACGTTCGAAGTATTTTGCGAAGAAACCGTCGACGTCTCGAAAGGTACAGCCTCGAATCTCCTCAAAGATCCTGGGGTTCCACCAGCTGACGCGTCTGCTCGGGGCCTTTCTGCGACGAGGAGGTGGATATGATCGGTGTGCCATTGAATGAGAGCGGTACGCTCGTCGGAGGGGTCGATCGCGAGGCGGTAACGATGAGGTTGAGAACAGCTTTCCAGATATCAATGTCGGGCGCTCTTTGGATGACAAGTTGTACAAGTGCACGGTAATATTCGTAACTGAAGTCGCCATCTTGAAGACGGGTGAATAATCCTGACAGCTCGGATGCCACACTTTTATTGCCTACTTGTTGAATGAAGGTTGAACGCGGCTTCCTCCCCCATCAAAGTGGTGAGAAGCTTTGAAATAGCTTTCTGGCATGTTGAATTGGTGTCATCAACGGAGCCGTCGTAAGAAATTAGATCCGGTTTGTAAGATTGCTCAACCTCTCGAAGAGACTCGTGTAAGCGATCCAGTGTGCTGTTCAACGGGTGCTTGGTGATGATATCGCGGTCATCTTGCGAAAGGCTGGCCATTTATGAAGAAGCTAGGCTACAGTCGCCGCGAAACCGGTATTTTGCCACAGAAAACGTGAGTCGAAACCATTCAGGTAGAAGATGAAGAGTGGTCTGATGGGGCATTGCGAGGAAAACGTTCGTGGAAGGGGGTGGTGATGACTGATAAGCGCCCCATTTTCTTTCATGATTGTAAATAGGGCAAATATTATTATTGCTGTTGACCAGGCTGATCATATACAAATAGCGCACGTGACTACGGAAAAAACTTTATACGCTCCTACCGTTGATCCCGGACATACGCCGTTAACGGTGATAGTGTATCACGTGACCATTCTTGGCTTTTAGATGGTAGGTCTGCGTGGTCTGGTTGGATGAGATATCAACTGAGATGACGGAGCGATCAACCAACCTCCATCACGGCAACCATGGATGATGAGTTTGGGTGAGTTGCCTGGAGTTGCATACCCTTGGTTGGCGGGATTCCCGCTTTGAGAGTTCTGCAGGCTAGTGAAATTTTTAAATTTTGAGGGCCAAAATCACGTGATAATTCACCTTTAACGAACTTTAGCTTATCTCAGCATGCTCAGCCTCTCTTCTCGATATTTTCGGATTAGCGCGACCAACTAAACTCCTTTAGACTTCTGCCAAGTCCTGCTAACTTCTGGACCAATAAGAGACTTCACACGTGCTCGCAACCTAATATCTCGTAGAGAGTCTGAGAAGAAACGGTTCCATCGTGTGTGGAAAATCAACACCGCCCATACAAAATATTCGATTGACTTCGAAATCATACATCTACCCTAAATATCTGCCTGATCATCACCAAACCGATATTTTTCAAATCCTCAGCCATTCTGCTATCATCTCTGCTATTTTACAACTCACTACCCCTTCTCATCATGTCACAATCGTTGACAAAAGACAGCGTGTCTTTTGAATCTCAAGGCACCCAATGTCAGACGCGCTCCAGCCAATATCCTTCATCACTCGAAGATGAATCCTCTCTACAACCACTACAGTCTCCCAACAATGTAGATGATGAATATGACACATCAGACAGTGACTTAACAGAGCTTGAATCTATTGATACTCCTTCGGAATTCGAGATCACCGATACTGATACCGATACCCCGCGAGCTTGTTCACGATCAAACCGCCGTGGCCCACAGCACCTGCCTACAATGCCTTATAACCGGCAGAAAAGACGGTCAAAATTATCTCGCGTTGTCAGAACATTACAGCGAAACAGTTGGGGAATGGAGGCCTTTATAGAGGCTTGGATTCAGAGTCCCGATATCTTGACTCATCGACGATACAGTACTCCTACGAAGCGGCGAAATGCACTATATTCAGCACTTTCCAAAGCAGGGGTATTCAATGATAATCAACGTTATACTGTCTTGCTTAAACAGGAGCTGAAATGCCTTATCAATACTCCCTTCTTTGCAAAATTCAATCACGATTCTGATCTGGATACCATTGACTTAGGTTTCATGAACTCCTCGAAGCGAATATTCTGATCCACTTCAGACACTCGAGATGTGAAATGCTGAATGGTGTCATTGATGAAAGAGGTGTCAGTATTGTTGACATTCTGCCTGTTATTCTGACAGATCTGAAGAAGTATTGATCGGAAATATTGCACTGCTTGTTGAACCTTGACATGACTGTCAATAAAGACAATGGTCTTTAAAATGTGTTGAGGTATGATCTTTCCATCTGTATCAATGGCCTCGTTCAATAAAAAATATAACATATCATAGGATACAAGTTTACCGCGTGGAATCGGATGTACGCCGATAAAGATATCAGGACGGTTAATGGAAGTTCGAATAACCTGAGTCTGCCGTGGGTTTACACCAATAGAACGAAATCCAGCCTCTTGAAGAATGATATCTTCAGCTTTACTGCTGAGGGTTGCGGAACAGCCAAACCAGACAATATCCTCACGAAGAAGCAATCTCAGGTGCCCCAGCCTGGCAAACTGACTACGGAATTGACTCCACTGTGTGACAAGATGACACTCATCGATAGCTACAAGCCCAATCTTTTCTTGTAAAGTAGGGTCTTGAAGAACATGCTGAAATCGCTTGCAAAGAGCTTGCTCTGGACTGAGCAGTATATGTGTATACTCACCTTGTTGAATGCGTTTGAGTAAGTCTTCTTGCCCCTGGAGATTATCAGCACTGACCAGACAAGGATTGGCACCGGGAAACCGTGCTATATCTCTTGTTTGCTGATCACCAAGCTTGTTTAGAGGAACCAGTTGAATGGTTATCTTTCCTGTCAGAATTGTATAGGATTGAAGAATAAGGCTCTTTCCATAGCCAGTTCTGGCAATGAATAAAGTGTCGCTATATCCATATATCATGCGCCGAAGTATACGGACTTGTTCTATGCGTGGCTGAAGAGTACACTCAGGATCTGGACGCGGGCCTTGAAGTATTTGTTGAAGACAATACTGAATAACATCCTGTTGCTTGTCGATACTATCTGGTCCGGCATAGCTCATGACAAGTTGTGGCATATCTTTAATGTTCATTGAAAGTATTTGCTTTAATGATGGCTTTTGAAGCCGCTGTTGTAGCTGACTTGCGCGTTTTCTTCGATCCCCCTTGGCCATATTTGATGCAGTTGATGGGACGTTGTCCGACCCAGCTGTCAAAAAGAAGTGTTATGTGATTGGTTCAGAAGTTGTCGGAAGATCCCAGAAGTTGTCAGGAGTTCAGAGATGTTGTCAGAAGTTGATGTGCCGCGTGAGGTTGCCAAGAGTTCAGAAGTTGTCAGAAGTTGCCAGAAGTTGCCGGAAGTCGCTGGAAAATACACTCGGTGCTTTGACTAGAGTCTCTGATGGCTGGATAGATGTTTTGATGGCAAGATCAAGGCGTTGGATGACTAGACATGATCATGGTTGAAAAATTAGCAAATCGTTCCCGTGTTCAAAATCATAGTAGCAGTTTTCGACGCGACACTTCATACTCAGAATATATGTATTTTCAGATAAAAATTACATCAATCGACAGGAAATTGAAAAATTAACCCTCCAAGGTGGTAGAGAAATGATCTATGAGTGATGTTGCACAGTGATTCTATCTCAAACATTATGGTTGGAGCAAATCGTTCCCGTGTTGCTAACAAACAGGAACCGTTTTTTCTCAGACGCTCCGCGAAGAGTTTGCTGGGGATGTCCCATTTAGGTTTAGTTTAAGCCCCGTGACAGTTGATTGGCTCAGATGTTAGCAGGACTTGGCAGAAAGTAGCAGTAGTTCGGATTGGGTTAGCTCGGAGTGGAGTGGCTGAGTTTACTGAGATAACGCGAACCCACATTATTATGTTATGTCAGCGATGGCACACAGATTAGCAGCTTCACGGAACTCAACCGTACATCTATTGCAAGCAGTACGTTGATGTCGACCTCGGGCTCGAGCCGTTGATGACCAATTTCTACTTAGGAAGTGTGCAGCGAGCTAGATAAAACTTGATGTTTAAGGTTGAATATCGAAAATTCTGCTTTGCAATTCAATCCATGAATTTGTGCATTGTGCGGATGGTTGCAAGTATGTACGGCAGTCTATTACAGTACACCTAGTGCGACAAAAGTATTTCACCTCGCCAAAATCTATCTCTTTTATTATGTCTTTGTACAAGCCTCTTCTTGGAAGTAAAAGGTTCCGACGGATCCCTTGCTACACAGCAAACTTGCCACAATGGCACACTAGGACCCGAGGCATCCATTTCGATAGTACCGGCGAGAGGAATCAGCCTGCGATAACAATGCTTATACTCTTACGTCGACTTACCATGGTGGTATACTCGGGCTATATACCACTCAGTTTATCGAACCCGTTGGTTCGGACTGCCCTCCTGAATACAATATGACCCAGCTCAAGGGCTGGTCGGTGACCAGTGATGCGGAAACCTTTCGACAAGGAGCATCCGAACCTGAATGACTGCCAGCTCAGACCCTCCACATCGCCAACAAGTCCTTTGGAACGCCCTTATCACATTGGTTCGCAACCTCATATACCTTCAGGGTGTTGGCTCCTGCGGGAAGAACCAGCGCATATTTATTCTGCGGTGCGGCCCTCACCATCCCTGCAACCATCTGGATTACTTGGACTAGCTTTCTCAGCTTCTCCCTGTTGTCCTCTTCCCATCTTGTCAGCTTTCCTTCCTGCATTAAGTCTTTCTTGGTTACCTCCGAAAAGATCCCGATCCTATCATAGTGGCCCTCACATAAGATGGGCGTTTGCGAGAACCACAGCTGAGCTATGTTTTTTGAGACTTCCAAGTTCTTCCCCACTGGACCGGTTTTAATCTCGACAATTCGGGACGGTTCAACAATGTACCCTCGAGTAAGCACGGTGTATCCTGTAGGTGTTTGATACTTGTTGGACAGCGACATTGTTCGGGGAATATCCCTTATGGGTCCTGTGCAGGCATCGACTTCAAACCGCACAACAGCCTTGATGCCTCCAAAATTGTAGCGGATGGCTCGATTGTGCGTCACACTTTCTCTAAGACCATTAGGCTTCCGGGTTGATGCTTTCTCGAATTCACAGCCATATCCCCCAAAACCCTTGACGAACCTGGTATTGTTCGGGGTCCAACACGAGAACAACACCGTGGAGTGAACAACTTCGATGTCAATGCGGAACGCGCTCTTCTTGCCGCCAACAAATGCCAAGAGTAGTCGAAGATTTCGCCTATCCGTAACAAGATCAATTTCTTCCATATTGAAATCGGGTTGAGTTGTAGCCAGGGCTCTGAGAAGCGGTTCAAGTGGGCATTTGGGGAATGCGTGACGGATTGGATCCATGAGGTATTTCCCTGCGTCTGGCTTTACTTTCTTCGGTCCGGCCGCCGGCGCCCAGACCGAAGGACAGCCTGGAACGTCTCACTATCAGTCAGGACAAGCTCGATCCAAGTGGCCATACTCACCGGGGACGATGATGGTTCTCTTTCGCTTAGGAAGTAGATTGTAAGAGGTGAGGGTTGTTAAATCCTCCGGTGTGACAGGGCTATCAGAGTTTGGCTGTATTGATTCAAGAGGTATCTGCCCTAGCAGCCCTCTCAGGCCTTTTAATAAAGGTGTGGCCGGCATGATGGATTCTGACCCTGCCTGGGAGTTCTTTGGAAGGATCCTTGGGATAAGCCTTCCCAAAACTTATGACCAGATTGGATTTTCTAGGCACTCGCTGACCAATCCTTGAATTGGAGGGGTTAAACCACTTGCACTTTCCAACTGCACAAGTCTTCCCGTCTATCCACTACGGCAAAGAAGGGAAGGAAGGAAAAGGTTGAGAACTAAGAATAGCCATACAAGGTATATCGTGTAGATCCGTGATAAAGGCCCTCAGGAATTCCCAACAAATTTACGCACAACGCTTGGTCTTTGATTATCCATTTTCACCCGCAGAACGTTATAAATTTAGTTTTAAGGGAGCGATGTTTATGGGGAATTTTCCTTAACCCCCCCACCTGTCATACAGGTGTCTCTTAACATAATGAATGTCATAATGGCTTCATGATTGAATCATTGCTCTGCCGCATCTCCTTTCTCCTATAGTCCTCCGGCGATAAGTGTATTGGAAGAGGATATCTTAATGACTATAGCTCATCAGCCAAGCAACCTAATTGGAGTCAAAGAGTCATACTATTTCCTCGGTCGATGGTGGCGGCTTTCCGTTGGTGTATAGGGTGAGGTATCGGCCGTTGATGTAGATAATAGTATAAACATTAGCACCACATTTATCACTGTATTCCGCGCTCTTTTTGAGAATGGTCTCCTCCCGCCGAAGTTTGGTTTTAGGCAATGTCCGATAATCGTCCCATGTCTTTCGAACCGTATGAGGATAGTGCTTCTCCTATCAACCGTCAGATATGAAATATGGAAGCAAAAATCAGCGCACATACTATCTGTTGCTCCGGCGGTGGCCAGGTGCCACTGGAATCAGTGTTCAAAATAAAATATTGACCATTCTGGTCAATTAATACGTAGGCTTGTGCATTCTTTAGGTTAGTGAGTTCAATGATTTTCTGACAGAGGGTCTTTCTACGCCGACATTGTTTCTGTCGGAAGTTTGATTGTGCCTGCTGTAGCAATGATCTTTTTTGTCTCTGACCTTTTGTAGATGACATGCCTAGATGTGTTCTGAAGTCTGGATGAGGGAAGAGGTGATTTGCACCAGTGTAGGTTCAAAACAGATCAGGTCACGAAATTTATAGAGATGTGGAGAGATCCAATTTAGGCTCCTGGAGTCCAGAGCGGCTCATTGTCATTCCTGGATTTCTGGATTTTTCCACTTTTGCACCTTTACTTATATCACTAATTAAATCCTGGGTGGACAAAAATTCGGGTGGTTGATGTTATCTGCAAACTCAAGTCAAAAGGAGCTTTTCAAAACGGTACTTCTGTCGAACATGATTTCGGCCGTTTTTGCAGCGCTTACTTGCTCGCAACGCGGCTAACTAACTACATGCTAATATATGCAAGCAGATCCCTGTTCAGTCATGGCATAACCAAAAATGCACAACTCTAGTTTTATGAAAATGGCGTGAAATACTCTCTTTTCTCCTGGCCAAAGCCAGTGTTGGAAAGCCAGGAAGTCAGAGATGTGAAAGCAATAATTTCCTGCTTTCCTGATTTGCACTCTCTTTTTTCACCTGAAAGGTGGTCATTGATTATAAGTTGGAGAATTAGCCAGAAAGATTTGGTCATTGGTATTATATGCAAGCAGATATCAACAACTAAACATGTTCATTTGCATGCGTGGCTATTCAGAAAGAATAAACAGATTAATGGATGAATAGCTACGGAGTCACAAATGAGCTATAGAATATGCTTTTGTAGGCAATTATTTGACTCCTGCAGAGCCACTGGGGGCTTTATGACCCTAGAATATGTCGACCCTGACGGCGCATAGCCCCTGGGGACTCTATGACCCTAGAATATGTCGACCCTGACGGCGCATAGCCCCTGGGGGCTCTATGTCCCTAGAATATGTCGACCCTGGCGGCACGTAGCTTGCTTGCTTGCTTTCAATTTAACGTCCGATCCAGCCGCTTCTCACAGCTATGCATACGGTGATCAAGGATGGTGCGAGTGTACAAAAGGTCTTATAGCTCCTTGAGAGTCAGGATTCTCATGAATCTCATTCCCCATAGAGGAGGAATCATGGTTCTCTGAGGAATCTTAAGGGAAATCGCATTATAATGGCTTTCGGTAGAAAATTCCTAGGTTCCCCGAGGATTCTAATAGGAGTCTTGTGGCAGTCACACTCCCAAGCGAACCTGTAATCCAATTTTCTCCAGCGAAAAAAAAGTTAAACACCCTAAGTCTGAATGGGTGTTGTTCCTTAGAGAGAGCGTAGCCACTACTCCCATCAAAAAAGGCGTGGCCCAAGAAGAGTAGGGTCAACGATGCGGAATTGTGATCTGATGCAGACGCTTGCAGGCCTCGCAAAGATGCTTGAGGTCGGAACGACGAGTAATCTGCAGGAAATTAGCAGGGACAACACAGATGTACGCAGACATCAAATTACCTGGTCAATAATCAAATTAAGCAATTCTGAGGGTAGTTCGGTCAGCATCTTGAGTCGCCCTAGTTCAATGAGGCTTTCAAATCACAGAGAGCAGTCCGAACTGTGTAATTCTTCTAGTGAGAAGGTAAGTGGTCTTGGGACTTAGGAGAGAGAAAGCAATCTATAGTATTTGGAGATTTGGGAGTCAGCCCGGTGGGGCAAGAGAGATGATTTTGAGAGAGTGTAACTATTAGTTGTATTATTGTACGCTGCTAGCTAACCCTATTAAAGAAGAATGGGATATCATGTGACCCTGCGTTAGTCTCCAATCCAAAAAATGTGACAAGCAATATGATATATAACACAATGTCAGGAAGGAAGCAAAAGTACAAAATATATATGATCTATGCTAAAGGTGAATAAGCTCGGGTGCATAGGCCGTGGACCACCGCTGCATGGTTTCGCAGGTGCATTTCATTATGGAGTGGAAGGCTGCAGGAATTGCATTTCCGATCCTTGAGATGAGCTGTTCGAAAGTGCCTCAGGAGCCCACAATGCTGAATATACTTCTTTGGACACTGAAAGCATTTCTCCGGCTCTGATACAGTGGGAGTGTCTTTCTCAATTGCTTGATTTTTTTCCTCCTGCCGGGATATAGTTGGCTGATCCTCCAGCCTGGCCTTCTTTGCAGGGGAACCAACCTTTTGGGGGGCCTCCTCGGGCGACAGTCTCCGCTTCGGCGGCCGTCCCCGCAGAGGGCCGCCCTCTGGGAAATCACAGTACTCTGTCACGGCCCCCACTCCTTTGTTGCGTCGTTGCCACTCATCTTCCAGGGAGTCGGACGTGGGCCAGGTAAGGAGGTTCTCCAGCAGATGGATCTGGGCCGGCGGCATCTCGAATTCCCTCCGCGGCACTTGCTGGGAATGTTCGTCGTTGACTGCTGACCCAGATAGCTGGCGTTCGATATCGATCACCGCCTGTTTTCGACTGAAATCCTGGCGCAAGACATGCTTTAATCTATCCTGCAGCCGGCGTCGTGTGTTGGTGACTTCCTGTTGCCTCCGAGACAACAGGGGAATCAAGGCAGGATCCTGTGTGCGCCTGTACAGATCAGCCAAGCTCTCATGAACATGGATGGCAGCCTGGAGCTCTGGATCCTCTTCCGCGGAAGCCCTCTCCGCATCGGAAAGGTGACGTGGCCGGCGTTTGTCGCGATATCTGCTCATCCGTGTCACTGCCCGCCCCCACTCCTCGTCCGGGTCAAGGCCGCACATGATCTCTTGCAGGCCGGAGTGTTGACGCACGCGATAGTGTCTGATGAAGGTGCGGCTGCTTGCATGATTCATGATCACATTCCTCTGTGCCTCACTGACAAATCCTAGAGTGTTTCTAAGCAAAAAGCCTACAAATCATGATCGCAAAACCACTTACCACTTTCATCGAGCAGCTTGCCCCCACCATAGCGAAACTGGTGGGAGTAAAACGGGTTGAGGAATCCATGGATCTCACTTAGACTCTTCATCTGAGAATCCAAAGCCCCAGCGGTCATGGGGGTATCTCGTAGAATGCGAGCTTCCCCGTCTACAACATCAACCTTGCAGAAGACATAGCAATCCATCATCTCGTGTTTCAAGGGTAATGGCATCTCCTGGCAGCCATCCTCGGGGAATAGCCTTCGGACATCCTCCATCGATCGAAGAGAGGGATTCTCGAACGCATTGGCATGAAATAGAAAGCCGAAGAGAAAGACATGAGGACTAAAGACAAGAGAGATCCCATAGATAATCTCCGGCAGAATAAACGAGTTACTGGCCACACGGTCAGTACCGGAGAGACTGGCCGGGTTAGGATGCGGAGAGATAGATATCGGCTCACATACAGGTTCTTCATCCCCATCTTTTTCTTAACGCATCGCGGGGTGAAGTCAACCATCGGTACTGGAGGGCCCCCATGTGGATCCCGTTGAACCGTCAACAGCAGATCCTTGTATTGGAGGTTGAGAATGGCATGCTCTCGGTTGACTGTAAACAGACCCAGCATGTTGTAGAAGCAGAGCAGGAGGCGCTGGATGCCCAGGTGGAATCGCTTTTCCCGCGTGCTGAGAATGGTCTCATTGAAGGGAATCATATCCTCAATGTAGACAGGAGTGTTGTCGCGCACCTGATCATCAAGTTTATACTTGTCGATCAGAGACCGCATGCCCTGGCGTCAAATATATCAGTCCAATATACACACACACACACACAAAGAAGATCTGCATTGACGCACCCGACGAATATCGTCCCTCATCTTGTCACTCATTGGCTCCCCCGTCATCTTCACATAGTGATTATGCAGATACTTCCACTCGGTCTCGAGGGAATCGGCCTTCTTGAAGCCTTTGAGTCTGCGGCCGCCTTGCCCGCGCTTTAGCTTGCCCAGAATCCAGTTGAAGAACCGGTGCACATCATTCGCGGTCGCCGCTCGGATCGCCTCCGCAGGATCACTCCATCTGGGAGCTGCCGCTGGTTCTAACGCCTTTCTCCCGCAGTAGCTTCCTGGCGTCAGTGCTGAAACCCGAAAGAGGCTCTACCCAGCGGGACTCACCGCGCCCAATATGTTTTTGCACGGAGCTTTTTTTTCCTGGTGTGTTTAGAACCCCCATAATCTGAGGGAACATCTGACAGGTTCTCATCTGTATCATCCGGGGGATCCTCATCGAGGCTTCCGTAGAGACTCAAGTCGATCCGATCCTCTGCGTCATGTTTCACCGCTGATGCTTGTCGCGAGCGATGTGATTGCTGCTGCTGCTGCCATTGATGCTTCCTGCCCTCGCATCCAGCACGAGGAGGACTCCAGTCTGGGTCAGTCAGCTCGGTCTCATACCCACAGTCAGGCTCGCTGCTGGTATTCGTGCGGAACAGCTTATCCGTAGGGTTGTCGTCGTCACTGCTGCTGGAGGCCGCCCGTCGGGGTCTCCGCCGCGCCATGGCAACAGCTCTCCACACGTTCCTCCAAGCGTGAGCGGGCAGAAGCTACACGGGGAGCAATCGCCAGAACAGGGACAGCAAAACCGGGCGACCAGCGACCGGCGAGGGAAGGGGTGGACAGGAGAATGGACGGACGCGGGACAGAGGACGGATGCGAACACAGCAGGAGCGGCATGAGCGGCCGAGTTTTTCCACCGTCTTCGGGTGGGAGAGAGGGAAAAAGAGGAGATGGTGTAGATGGGAGCCGGGTGGCCCGTCCTTATGTAGCGCCATGATCGCTAGCGGGTGAGCACAGGGTGAGCAGGGTGAGCAGGGTAAGCAGGGCGTCAAGACGGTCGAAAACTGAGGGAGCCGTTTTCAGGTGCAAAAGCCGTGGCCCATGGCCGCTGCGTCGAACCCTGTCGAGCGTGTGATCACGTGGACGATGCTGGTGGTGCGTGGTGGCTGGGTGGTGCGGCCGTGGGCGGAGAGGCTGCATCGGCGCGTCGCAAAATGGCGCCAAGAAGTGCCGGAAATGGCAGCGCCGATGCAAATCGAAATTCCATAGGAGTAATCAAAATGAAATAAATTTCAAAGCAAAAGTAACAAAATAAAAATAAAAACAAGAACAAAAATTAAAGCAAATACATAGAAACAAAAGAAAAAAGAAAAATAAAAACTGAATTCATTATCAGATCAAACTATTCAATTGAAATCTTGTAGCAATATTTGATTCTTTCAAATATTCAATCAAGAATTCATTTCCAGTTTTTGTATTGAACAAAAGTTTTAAATTTAACTGTGTCAATTCAAACTTCTCTCTCAATCTCAATCTTAACTCTGTATGCTTTGTACAAAGTAAAAGAAGATGCTCTGGGTTTTCATATAACTGACAATCTGAACATAAATCACTTAAATCATTTCTAATCTTTGTTAAATATGATTTAAAATAACCATGTCCAAGTTTTAGCTGCATTATTGTAGCAAAAAGTTTCTTTTTGCATTTTAAACAGTAGAACAGTGAGTGTTGTGAGACATTTTGACAGATTTAATGATAAAGATGTGTATTTGAATAAATTGAATGATATTTGAATGATTCTAAAGATACGTGGATATTTTGGTTATTTTTGCAGTGTTTTGCTACTACTATTTTTCAGGGGGTGGCAGAAAATTCTGTTTTCGCAAGCTTTACGTCCGCCACAATATCTCCTCGTCTGGGAACGATGGCAGCAATTAGCGCGTTGTCGTTCTGTCGCCTCTCCTTCTGATTCCGAATCGGTGCGTAGCTAAAAAAGTGGTAACTCTGAATAGATCATTTAAAGATTTTTATAAATATGAATTTACAGATGAGCTTCAGTTTGCTATTGATTCAGAGAATGTATATAAAGATTATACAAATTATAAATGAGAATACAGCATGTATCACTGGTTCTCTACTACTGAGTGAATATTGACTGACTAGTTAGTCTACTTATGAATCTCTGATTTTGACTGATAGTTGTACAACAAACACACTTACCACACGGGCATGCTTCGCTTGCTACGCTCGCTACGGCCAGTTATATGCATAAGTATAAATATTTAACTATCCAAGTATTCTGAGGTTTTCGTTAGTTGGGCAATTTATGGCCTGAGTTGCCTCGAGGGAGCCAAGCTTACGATGGCCTTCCTCGAGTAGGGAGGCACAGCACAAAAGATAAGAGGGGATATAACACAGCAGCCATGGAGGAGGCACTGAAGAAATATGAAGCTAGAAACGAGGAAAAAAACAAGGAAGAGTCGAAGCAGACAAATTTGAATTTTGTCAGAAAGAAATTACAGTGACTCGCCCTTTTTTATATTTTCGTTTCTGTCAAGAAGAATCAGCTTAGAAGGTGAGTCGGAGCTGCTCGTCGTATTTCTCTTTATCTTTAACTTTCGACTCGGCGAAGTCCCACGCGTTAAGGCACAAGAAGGTTGAGGTGGCGAGATAAAATTCGGTGTCAAACTTGGATTTCTGAGATTTTCCATAGGGACTTTGATATCTTGGTCGGATATGGTGGTAAAAGATGTGGTGGAGTCCAGTGGAGCTATCCAGTGCAAAGCAGTACCGGAACGTCCCTTTCCTCCACAGTCTCTTTAAAAGCTCTGTATAGGAATAGTCGCATCGAATCATTGTGATGCTCTTCTCATCCTCACCCAGCATATTTCTTTCTACCTGCTCGAGAACACCTATGTATGCATCGTACATCTCACTGTACTGCGGTTCGTTGATCTGACCTACTGTTTAACTTGTCAGCAGTACGGAGGGTGTTGCATTTCAATAGGGCGAATGAAGGTCTATTCCGGGTCAATAACGTTTGTGATATGCCAGTCATCATCAACAAATGGTCCCGAGCGTAGCTTGCTGTCTCAAAAACATGGAGCACACAGTTCTCATCGTTGCCAATGCACATATCTGGCTGATGCAATCTCCCATACTCGAGGCGACATGTGGTTGGTAACGTAGCTGATTGTCATGAAGAGCTAGAACATCCTGAATCTAAGTGTCCACGGTCGGATACGTTGTTTTCCGCGATATATCAAGGGGGATGTTCTCATTTTCGAAGTCGCAGATTTCCAATGTCAACGGCCGGTTACTGATGAACAAGACGCCATCATCATTGATTGTCAACGATCCGATGTGTGGTAATGGCTTCCGGGAGAGAGTAAGTTGAATTTTGGCTAAAGCAATGAAAAGGTTGCGCCTAAGGGTTGTATCGTGTCTCCGTTTATCGTATGATTGAGAGAGCATATGCCCGTTCTCGACATACCCAAAAAGCATATATCCAACGCCAAGCACATCAAGTGCAGAAGGTTTATTAACTTGGCACACTTACACGTTGTCCTGTTGACAAGCCCAATCCATGGAGACAAGCAGTTGGGATATCGGGGCATTCTTCGCCAAGCCACACATAAGTACTCCGTAGCCGCTTCACATCGAACTTTTTCATTCCCGTGATCAGGGCTTGCAGCCTTATATGGGAGGCGAGCACGTGTAAGCAGCCGGATGCTTTTCTGATCCGGCTTTTGAATGGAAATTGGAACAGAGAGATTGTAGCTGCCATTTAGTCATTCCGACGGTAGAAGTCAAACAGAGATAATGAGCGATGATAGCTTTGATAAGGGAGCTTTTCGCCCAATATGATCTCCAAAGGCCTTTGTCTCGTAGGTCAACGCTTGCAAAGCGTTTACAGTCTCATTCTGCCTTGCCTCTGAGTAAGTGACTTGCCTTCCTAGAACGCGCCTCGTCACCGGTATGGCTGCATCGACTCAAAACAAAACAGGTGTTGGTGGTAAATAGGAATGCAGCAGGATAGAGATGTCCTCCTGGCTCAGACGCTACTTTCGTCGTGTTGTTCAATCAATCAGACGGAGCCATTCAACTCTACTTCCCGTCAGCGTTTGTACGAGAATAGCTCACATTCAATTCAGCGATCAAAGTGTGAGCACAAAAGCTAGAGATGTTATTGTTGATCATTTGATAGAATATCCTTGTATACGCACGGTTTTAATTTTTGAATGTCCAAAAGCTTTATCTCAAAGAAAGTTATTTTGTGGGTACACATTCAAGAATTTATCACAATAGGCACGTAACCTCAACAACTGTCAACAGTTATTTATTCATAAAATCACTGCTACGAGCTAGTCCGATTGGGTGGCCAGGCAAGCAAAGTAGTAGCCTAGCGAGCAGGCGGCGGCGTGTAGAAGCAGGAAGAAGGAGGTCGGGAATCTCTATGAGATAACCTTATATCGTCTGATGGACATGACACACGTAGCCCAAATGGGAGTCTGACAAGCAGGGAGTGATCTCATCGAGATATCCCTATCCATTAGGGTCGCATCTTCCCACCATCTCAGACAAGGATGGTTGTCGCAGGAATACTAAAGGACCAACGGCCAGAATTGCCGGATACTAGGCATTCCAGAAGTTTCCGTAACTCTGATAGAGACGCGAAACATATATCAATGCCAATTCGCTTTCTCATTTGATGTGGTAAATGGGTTGTGGATATTTTTTGATCTTTCTCCTCAACGCTTCGGTAGATACACACTAGCCCGGAAATGGGAAACTAATGCCAAGACATCGCTTAGCTCAGCCCACACTCGTCAAATTGGGACGAAATAATCTACATCCAACTCGGACTTTTGTCGACAGGACGGACAGACGGCAAACCTCTTTACCACCTCGCCAAACTAACCACAACAGGGTCAAGATGTGAGTTGTTTTCTGGATGTCCTGCTGTCGTGATAATTGAGTCCGTCAGGGAGCTAAATACTGATATCTTCCGCTTTTTCTCAATTACAGGAGTCACCGGAAATTCGAAGCCCCTCGGCACGGTTCGTGGAAATTCCATCTATATTTCTCCTGTTTTGTTGGCATTCACAGACAATTAGAGCTCCCGTGTACGACCCTTACTGATATGCGATTTGTGTAGGCTCTCTTGCCTTCCTTCCGAGGAAGCGCAGTGCGAGACATCGGGGAAAGGTTAAGAGGTCAGTCAATTGTTGAGATTATCTTTGACGCACAATTGTCAGCGAGGAAGGAAGTACTGACAACTGACACCTTTTGCCCAACGAACGAACAGCTTCCCCAAAGATGATCCCAAGAAGCCTGTCCACCTAACTGCCGCCATGGGCTACAAGGCTGGCATGACCACTACCGTCCGCGACCTTGAGCGTCCTGGTGCCAAAATGCACAAGAAGGAGATTGTCGAAGCTGTCACCATTGTTGAGACACCTCCGGTAAGATTGAAGCTGATGTTCATAAACTCTTGATTTGGTTTGGGGCAAGGGATTTTATGAATCTAATGTCTATCCTTTGTCCGCTTTTCTAGATGATCGCTGTTGGTGTTGTTGGATATATTGAGACTCCCCGTGGCCTCCGATCCCTCACAACAGTTTGGGCCGAGCACTTGAGCGACGAGGTCAAGAGACGATTCTACAAGAACTGGTACAAGAGCAAGAAGAAGGCCTTTACGAAATATGCCAAGAACCACTCTGAGAACAAAGGTGCCTCCGTCGCGCGCGAGCTCGAGAGAATCAAGAAATATTGCACTGTCGTCCGTCTGCTCGCCCACACTCAGATCCGCAAGACCCCGCTCAAGCAAAAGAAGGCCCACCTCATGGAAGTCCAAGTGAACGGCGGCAGCGTCGCTGACAAGGTCGATTTCGCTCACGGCCTGTTTGAGAAGCCCATCGAGATTGATACCATTTTCGAGAAGGATGAGATGATTGATGTCATTGCGGTTACCAAGGGCCATGGATTCAATGGCGTCACTAGCCGATGGGGAACCAAGAAGCTTCCTCGCAAAACGCACAAGGGTCTGCGAAAGGTTGCTTGTATCGGTGCCTGGCATCCGTCCCACGTCCAATGGACTGTTGCCCGAGCCGGTCAAGACGGTTATCACCACAGAACCTCCTGCAACCACAAGATCTACCGTATCGGCAAGGGTTCCGATGAGGGCAACGCCTCGACTGAATTCGACGTTTCGAAGAAGCAGATTACACCGTAAGTTTCTGCCCAACTCCTCCATCCACCCAATTTATTCCACACAAATGATGCTAATAATACTTTTTTGTCTCCAGAATGGGCGGCTTTGTCCGATATGGCGAGGTCAAGAACGACTACGTCATGATCAAGGGATCCGTCCCCGGTGTCAAGAAGCGGGTTCTCACTCTGAGAAAGACGCTTTACCCACAGGTCAGCCGCAGGGCGTTGGAGAAGGTCGAGTTGAAATGGATCGACACCTCGTCGAAGTTCGGGCACGGAGCATTCCAGACGCCAGCCGAAAAGCGGGCCTTCATGGGCACCCTCAAGAAGGATCTTGCTACTGCTGCATGAATTTCCTAATAAAGAAAATCAAGATATTAAAATATTCTGGTTCTGTTTCCATTTTATGCTGGCCTAGCTTTCTGTCAGACTTACTTGCCTTGTTATTACCTTTTTTCCCCTCAATCGGTCGGTGTAGGTGCAAATGAATATTTCTTTTCCCACTTCTTATTGATATAATCAATACCTGATAAGTTTCCCATTTCATCTACCCTTGCCGCTCGCCTGAATAAAAATGAGAGTGTAAAAAGCTTTTGCGGGCAAGGTATAAGTGAAGACAAATGGAGTCTGGTAAAAGATGAGACCAATCATCCTCCACCGTAAAAGCCCGCAAACAAAAGTAGCCTGTTTTCTCTTGATGCCTTGTTGTTCTTGGACCGATCTACCTTATTATAGCCGCCCGCAGTGAAGCTTCATAGAATCCGTCTAATGTACTGTACGCCGTTCACTACCAGCGATTTCCTTGCCTTGTATAGATACGCAAATAATACAATGCGCCATCTTTCATGTGCAAGTGAGACGATGAAAATATGGGCTTGATGGAATTTCTATTTTCCTTGTGTGATGCGGACCCATGGACTAGCATTTGCGTCATACCCCTGTATAGTTCATCCTTCAGAGCTGGTCATCGTTTTGGTCATCGTTGAGCATCCATTCGACCCTTTCTCGAAACTGTATAAATCATAATTTTGTCATGGAAGCATCCCAAGAACGAAAAGAGCTTACATCTAAATAATTGGCTTGTTTCATAATACCTTTCAGCGATTGCCAGAATACTCGAAACCTTCATGACCCCTAACAGTGAAAACCCCACGAAACAACACAACCATCATGAAGCTCGACCAGGCAGTAATAGACCTCCTCCACCTAGACGCAGCGAATACCACAGTAAGCCGCGTTGGGGGCGGTTGCAGCAGCGCATCCTCTGCGAAAATCAGCACAAAACTTGCAGATGGCACTGAAAAACACTTCTTCATGAAAACCGCAACGGGAGAGGCTGGTAGGGTGATGGTACAAGGTAACTAACTGACAAACCGTTTCCCGATCATCCGTCATCCATATACCAGATTTACAGCCCAATGAAAAATCACATTTCATCGCTTTTTATCCCATAAAATCCCCTTCCCCGAGAGCACTTCCCTGGTAAACATGAGAATGTCACATATAATGACTAAATCCGAAAACGGAAACACAATCATTCAGGCGAAGACGCCTCCTTAAAAGCCATCCACGCCGTCGTCCCAACCCTCTGCCCGCAATCCTTCGGATGGGGCGCTCTCTCTTCCTCCTCCCCTTCCTCGCCTCCAACGTATTTCCTAGTCGTTGATTTCCTCGAGCCTTCTTCACCCTCCAACTCAGTCTCGCATCGCCAAGAACATAATTTACCCCGCAAATCGCTCGCGGAGAAGCTCGCACAGCTACACACAACCCCAGCGCCTGTGCCGGATGGCTACTCAACGCCTCAATTCGGCTTCCCAGTTTCAACATGCTGTGGCGACACAGTGCAGGATAACTCCTACAAATCCTCCTGGGCCTCGTTCTTCGCGGAGAACCGGCTCCGGTTCATTCTGCAGCGCGCAGAGGCGGCGAATGGAAGGCCTGATGGCCAGCTGCGCCGGCTTGTGGAGAGGACAATAGCGCAGGTTGTGCCGCGGCTGTTAGGCGATGAGCATATGAATGGCGGGCGCGGGGTAGTACCAGTGGTTCTGCATGGGGATCTGTGGTCCGGGAATGCAGGGTCCGGTAGTTTGGCGGGGAGAAGGGTTGAGAAAGTAATATTTGACCCATCAGCGTTTTACGGGCATAGTGAGTATGAATTGGGGATTATGAGGATGTTTGGAGGCTTTGGTGGGGGGTTTTTGGAGGAGTATCATCATCATTGTCCGAAGACACAACCCGTGGAGGAGTATAATGATCGCATTTCTTTGTATGAGTTGTAAGTGCTGTTCCTTCCCCTCCATTGCCTTTTATTTTCTCGAAAAAACATATAGTTTAATTGTGGTTGAAATAGGCTGATTATTTGGATGCACAGATATCACCATCTCAACCATTACGCTCTTTTTGGTGGCTCATACAGATCAGGGGCTATACGGATTATGGAGATGCTGCTACAGAAATATGGATCTTGACAGAGTTAGCGAGACGGCTAATCTGAACTGTTTGATAGGCTAAAGATGGACATTTTCAATTCCAGGTTATGTATCTGCGAAATCACTACTCCGTATGAGAAGGTGAACTCCCCGCTTGGCTTGGTGATGACCTCATAGCTGTAAAATCACATGACCGCCCCCCTGGTGATCCTATACAAGAAACTCAAAATTCATTTTCAGATAAAGTGCTCCAATAGACATAAGGAAGAGAGAAATGAGGACTCAGCTATTCAGAGTTTCAAGAACAAGATTCTACTTCATCCACCACTGTGTCAGGGTAAAAGGAGGACCTAATCAGCGCGGACAATTCTCCACACAAGCCGTCCCCCTGGGGTCATCGTTGTCACAACAGCTCCATCATCTCACCACCAATACCACCACTCCTCGAATCATTGGGCGTTCCCACCACATTTCACTCCTCTCTCCCACATACTGCAACCGTACCCGCGGCCTCAATAACAACCACGGCCCACCAGCAAAACCGCGTTCCTTATTTCTTCCTTCATCATCAACACCCACAACAACAACCACCATGTCCTCCGATGATGCCTACGCAGCCTTTCTCGAAAAGGCAAATGAATCCCCTTTCAAGAACACCCCGCTGACCGCAGCTCAGCAACAGGAAGAACATCTGCAGACAAAAAGGATTGACTCAAATGTATCTGTGCCCACTGTCCTCAGCGATGTGGAAATATACTACACCTCCGAAACAGACGAGCTCTTTGAGCCTGTGGCACTGCACTGGAGCGGAGCGATGGAGAGCCGGTGGCCAGATGTTGGTATGTTCTTCCTCCCCTTTACCTTCCTTCACACACACACACAGAGAGAGAGAGAGAGAGAGACATATATATATTTATGTATACAAAAACTAACCTAAACAGACGAATTCCAATCCCTCATTCTTCCCAACATCGATACGAGCGCTACCAGCGCCTCCGCGACCGCCGCGGCGGAGGCAGCAGACATCCAAACATCCATCCTCTCCCCGTCCGCCTTCGACCCGAATAACCACTACACAACAGTCACGAATGCGGTGATGATTGCGACCGGGGCCGGAAACGGGGCCAGGGACGGGAATGAGTTCGATATGAAGCTGGCGGAGGAGAAGGTGAAAGTGTATCGGGTGCAGATGAGCTGTGCGAGGGTGGAGTATTGGGTTGTCGGGCTGGATAGGCATGGGGAGGGAACGATTGTGGGGTTGAGAGCGAAGGCGGCTGAGAGTTAGGGGGCCAGGGGGTTTGGATATTTTCTCTTGGAGAGCAACCCTTTTGGGGTTTTTTTCTCTTTTCTTCTTTGCTTCTTTACTTCTTTATTTTATTTTATTTATTTATTTTCGGGATCTTTATGAGTTATGGTTGTTGTTTAGGGGGGGGCGGGAGTTATGGGTTGGATTGGGTCGAGGGATTGCGATTGTCTATTACCATCCCAGGAGGATTAATATGATATAAAAGGTGGTTATGGCTTTGCGGAAGATCTGTTTTCCCTATTCTAAGTCTAAATTTAAGATATCGCTGCAATTGGGCCTCCGTCCAGCAGCAATCAAAAAAAGTTCCACGCAGCCATACGGGATTGTGGCCCCTAAAGAAGCATGTGAAATTTAAAACATAGAGCTGAATTTGCACATCTACATGTACTGCACAACTCCAACGAAAATCGGTCAATAGATTCTTACCTGTAGAACGACATCTGAAACAGAACGAATGCATCTTTCCTCTCCAGATAACATCGTTTCCTCTCGCTACTTCGCGTTCATCTTCCTTCGTCATCAATTCTCCGTCTTTTGAAACGACTTCTTTCCGCCCCCATAGGATCCTTCTCTTCCCGGTCCGCCGTTCTAGCATCCTCTGCGACCACGGTGCGTGATGATGAGCCACACTCCACTGCCACTGAACCACCCGACGAGCTACAGATTTCCGCCTCCTCAGATGTTGCACAGGGCTGCGGCTGTGTATGCACTCCAGGAAGCCTTTGGTTCGCAGCGTTAATGAACGCATCTCTGACTCCCCTCGCCCAGTCGCGGGCATTTCTATAGGCGGTAGCTCCTTGGTGGAAGGATTCTGGATCACTGGTCAGAGACCAACCCTTGATCTGAGTCATGATGTATTTGGGGTGGTTTCCAAGACAGGTTGGCTGGGTGGGATGGGAGGTGTATAACTTCAGTGTCCCGTCGTGATAGGTAGCCATGATGGTGTACGCTTTGTTATCATACACTGGGATATCTTGCCTGTAGGACTGAAGGCTCTGGATGCCTCGGGCGCCTAAAGCGCCATCATAGCAAGCCTGTATTCTTGCTATCGCGGCAGAGTCATCGGGTCCCTTTGCTTCCAGGAAGAAATTGGGTGCCATTGGAAGGCTATCATCGGTTGAGGGAATGATGAGGTCATTGAGCTGGTTGCGAATGCTTCCGTCAAGCTGCTCCGGGCGAGCCCCATCAAAGCGGTCTGGCTTTCCAGGAACAAGAGAACCGTCTGTTAGAGGAGCAAGATTGGCAAATAAACCCTCCCGCCCGTTATATGCGGTAGAGCTGGTAGTGCCCTCAATGGTTGGAATCACCGATGCCAGTACCGAGTGCTTATGGGATGCATTCGCAGCCATCCATGCGAAATGTTCAAACGCATCACCAGTAAAACTTGATGGCGACAGGGAATCTCGAGGCTCGGCTAATCTTTCATTAATCTCCTTCCAATTATCTGGCTTCGCTGATCTTCCGCCATCGGGAGCCTCGTAGGTAAAAGGGTAGACGCCGTGATCTATGAGATTCTGCTGGAAGGTATATCTATACGCGGTTGCGCGCTTAGTTTCGGGGAACGCGGCGAATTCAGCTCCTTCAGACGTCAACGATGGAGTGTCTTCAAGGGATGGGGGCTATAGAGGGGAAACGCGATGGTTGGTCAGCTGCGATTCCAGAGTAAATACTACTTATTTACTACCTGGCAACAATGCTTACACTTCTCGGACCAGAACCACCATGCGTGGCACAGTGTTCCAGCTCCTCACAACGGCCTAGCTCGCAACTACGGAGCTGGATATCTTGGTGGCTCTCCTCCAGCCAAGCACGACATTGAGAGTCCCTCCGGCTTAACTCTAGCTTTCTCAACGCGGCTTTGGTCAAGCAAGTCTTTGGATATCTCAATAAGACGCCGACGAGGATCGAGAGCAATTGGGTCGGTCGACCTTTTGCCTCTTCGATGGATTCTTCGATGCTCTTTCGGATGGCAGGTGTGAGCATTGTGGCTGCTTTGGCCTACGCGGATGCACCAGGCATATGGCAGGAATTAAGGCAATAGACCGGTTCTTCTCTTCAACATAGTTGAAAATGGGAGTAATACGGATTACTGATCATACGTGTGATATATACATGATACGGCGATGCGAAGGGAGTACTCCGCACCGTTGTTTACTTCATGACGGGAGTTGCCTCGAAGCGGCGCAGTCACAATGAGAGAGAGCGCGCCTTGAGAGATGAAAAGCAGCAGAGAGCAGCAGGTAATAACCCCACGAGAAGAAGACTCATTATCATTATTCATCGTCAATTCGTATATCTGCTGTATGTATGCTGTGCGGGGGGTTGTGAATATGTTGATGCATCCACGGATCCATCCGCCAGGTTAATTCTTTATACAACGTTATATATCGCCTTCCATGAAACAGCCAACCAACGACGCGCAGGCTGGTTGGCAGAACTTTAGTTAAAATATTTACTATACAAGGGAATCAGATAAACAGTAACTTCCAAGTCTCGCGGTCACTGAGAGAACAAATGATAAATAGATATAGACTTATCGTGACAGCTTTTTTGATGTATAGTGAGTATATCTGGGAGGCGGCTCCGGCGGGGCATGGCCGCTGATGAATGAACTATTTCGCCCAGCTGTACGTGGCTGAATCATACGGATGGCAGCAACCTTGGAACCTGGATGCGACTGTCTCAGATTGCTTGCTTTCCCTGTTGTTGTTACCCACCTATGTCAGCGCGTGCGAAACCTTGGTTTGTGGCCATCGAGCCGTGAGCAGGGAACCTTTGTCCAGTCCGACGTGCGGGTGCGGCGGATAATCAACTTGCGACAACTTGCGCCAACTCCCCATTCTTTGTTGCTCTCTCTCCATTCCTCCACTCTGCTGCTTCGAGCCCGACGACGTTCCTCCTCCTGATCGAGCCGGGGGAGTTGAGCACGGAACACTGCCCTCCCCAGGGGCCAAGACACTCACGGATCAACGGATCAGCCAAGTATTCCACGGTTGGCCCAAACCTCGTTAGTTGCCGCACCCGCAGGTATTAGCTGGTTGCTAGCGGGTGACATTTGAGCTGCACGCGTCTAATCTAGATCCCATCGAGGAACTCGACTGCGGCAATTGCGGTTGCGGGAGGTTGAGGCACGGCACGTGTGTATATTTGATCTGCAGGTGGGCTGTCAATTGATGTGGGATGATATACAGTACATTGGCTAGGAAGTTGACAGGTAGGCCGTTTTTCCGTTTCCTTTATATCTCTCTTGTCATTTCTTTTTCTTTTCTTTTCTTTTGTTGGACCTTTCTATATGGTCATGTTCCCGTGGAGAGGAGAACAGAGCAGAGTGTCATTCATTACCTGCTGGAAATGCGTGGGCGGTATATATATAGCTATATTCACTTCGAGTCTTCTTGCCTACTTGTTCACCTCAACGCGTCGCATGGCTTTCTGGCACTGTTAGCTCTGTGCCTTTCATCGCCATGCCCGTCTTGATTCCCTTTATCTAAACGCTTTCTTTTCTAGCCCTCAGACAGAGAATACAGTCCCCTCGTTGCTCGTTGTACCTGCCCGGCCTGACATCTGGCCAGCCAGTCGTTTCCGCCCTGCTGGACGCGTTATAGTTGCCATCGTCTCCCCCGTTCACTCGCAAGACAAACACGGCCTTCTCTCATCCACTCGCGCCCACCGATATTTTCTGTTTTTCTGGTTTTCTGTCTGATCTCAGCACCTCTCAGTCTCAGAGTCGAATATGGAGCTCTGAGAGATTCTAAATAAACAAAATCGATTGGTTCATCCTTCCTCCATCTTAGACTCGTTGGTTTGCTTCCCGGGACTTGATCTGGTCGAAAACGTCTGGGGCGTTGGAATTTCTTCCTTGAGG